GTATGTATGTATGTATGTATACACACTTGTATTCGTAAAAGCTAGTCATATACTTATACATATTAAGAAAATGACATTAGTTTTTTTTATTATATCCTAACGCATGCTCTAAGTACATATTAATGTATACTATTATTACGAGATACAAATATTCAAAATTTTAAAAATGATAAACAATAATGTTATTATGCTTGTTATTAACTGTTATACACTGTTTATACATTTGTGTATCATATATATTTATATAACTTTGTAATTGTAATATTGCAATTGTAAATTTATACGTAGATATTTAACCTTTATTTTGGATGTGTTTGTATATAAATGTCTAGATATAATATTTCTATAACAAAACGTAAATATATCAATTTTTATCTCTAGTTTCTTTTATATTGAGTTTTATATATATTTTATATATATTAATGTTATACTTTTTTGTAAAATTGCCATGGATATGTAAAGAAAATTTTATTTAGAACAATCATTTGTTTTTATGTTTGTTTTCTTCGTATATTTATATGTACAGCAAAAATAAAAAGAATTCAGAACCTTAACTATATTGTATACACTAGCTTTTGCTTCTTTTGAACTAATTCTACTGTTGTGATGCGTGTTGCCAGGCATTTGTGAACAGATTGTATCAGTTTGCATTTCACTTAGGGCAGCAGTGGGCCGTCCACACCAATACACCGCAGCACCTCAAAAAGAAGGTAAGGAATCACATTCATAGAATTAAATGTTATATTCTTGTATTGCCACATTTATAAACATTGTATTTTTTTCTATCGTCATACACATTTTTGTGTATTTTGTGATTATATATTCAGTGAAAATTTTTATCTGTTTCGTTATTTCTGTTAAACTGTTGCTGTGCAAAGTTCTTTCAAATCGCAGCAGTAATGCAACTCCTGATATTTTATATTTGGAATATCTAGAACTTGTTAAAAATTTAGAAATAAATACTAGTCTGTATGGCTAAAAAGTTGTGCGCATTCTTTCTCTAGAGAAGAAGAAAAAAATTACTCTTCCACCGACCGAAAATACACTGCAAAGCAAGACTTGCCCAGCTCCACAGCCAATCAAATCAGTCACAATCGGACGACGACTCTAACCAATCAATGGGCGGAGTCGGATAGCAACCCAAATACTTCCAATCAATCGACTTCCAGCCCCAGTTCCTCGCAAGAAAAGAATTACAGCAATGCTACTTCTACTCAAGAACGAGATATAGAATTGGAGGCTGCGTCTCATCTTTTAACGAAGCAAGAAAAATCCTTGTGTATTCAACTTGATCTAAAGCCGACTCAGTATTTGACGCAAAAGACATTGTTATTACAAGTAAGTGATGAACGTTGATTAATATTTTTTTAATGTTATAACGTATTATTTGCTAATATTATTTTTAATGTCACAGGAATATTTAAACGGTAATAGGAGATCGAGTATTGTACCTCAATCAGAACCAGAAAGCAAAATTCTTCATTATCTAGTAACTAACGGTTGGATTACAGCCAGTTGATCAAATGTATAAAGATTTGTTATTTTGTCACTCTAAGTCATTTCTAAATTAATAAGCTTATATATACAAGTTTTAGACGTAACTAAAATTTTTAGTCTGATTCAGTTAAATGTAAGGCAGATGATTAATGAGAGAAAAGGAGAGAAGGAATGCATGCGTGCATGTTTGCAATAGTTGCATTGTTGCTGATCTTTTAAACTGGGATTTCAATATTATTATATCATGCGGTCTATTCAATGTAAAATCAGATAGAATCATAATCAGATGTAATTTATGTGTTTAAGGTCTGTGATTTAACAATGAGTTCAGGGCCGATTTTACGATGATAAAAACTTGATTAATGTTTAATTACTTCTGCATTTCCTTTTTCCAAGCTATAACACTGGCTATAATGCAGTTAATAACAAACAATTAATTAAACAACAAATGTTAACAAATATTGAAAGAATTGGCTCTTAAAATATTTTAATTCTCTTTCTAATCGAATACTGTTTGAAAGAATCTCTTAACACTGCCTACATAGAGCCATTATGTGTGAATCTATTGCTCAATTAATTCTTCCACTGTGTTATTTTTATGTAGATAATGCCTATCAAACACTTCTTTTGTTTTAAATGTTATCATATTCGGCAATAAGGAAATACAAAGATATTCACATATTTTCTATTTTTACATTATAAATTATGTATTAATACATAAAATAGTATGTAAAAAGTTTCTAGGTCAGTTTTATTTTATAAAATTAACAACTTTGTTGATATTTATTTGATATGCTATTAAAAATTGCATATAAGCGATGGCTAATAATATAATATATAAAAGAAATTACTTATTTTACAATAAATTTCAATAAACTGAGAGATAATCCAATTAATTAAAATAGAATATGCATTATTAACATCAAGTGTAAACCATAACTGTATAACATGTAATGCTATATAATCTATTTGATAACTGAAGAATTCATTTATCGAATTAAAAAAAATTCCTTATTGACGAAGAATGGTACAAATATTTATAGTTATAGGATATATAATACTGGATAATTTATCTGTATAGTATTTGTATATAAGACAATGAGAATAGGATAACGGAGAATGATACCGTCATAACAATAATGCACTTTAAAGCACAAAGAATGATTATTTCGCGATTGATGAAGTGTTATCTTTATCATTATTACCATGAAAAAATTTTAATCAAATTTAAACCAAATTTATGATAACAAAAAAATATTTAAAAGAAATTTTGGAAACATAATTATTTTTCGTTATGTTGTATAGAAAGTTTGAAATCAAGAAAAATGATAATCTAAAAATGATTTTTTAATTGCTAATAAGCGTGTGCTAAATTTTGTGATATCACGAAAGCTGCCTCTGTAAGAAATATTTATCAAATTATTTTTTTTAAGCAATGTGCGTAGATTATCGGGGGACACCTTTATTTTTATCATATTTCGTCACATTTAGTTCCTTCTTTTGAAATTAGAAATAATTTATTAATCAATATTATCATATATAATGTTAAAAAATTGATATAAAAAAAGAAACAAAATTTAGAAGATGATTTCGATATCTTAAAAAAAAAATCTGATTTATGAATTATCTTTTTGCAACATTCTGTATAAATAGTGATATTTTCATTTTATGAAACATAAGATAATGCAAGCACATATTTGCTAATATGTGATATGCAATGTTTTTATGTTACCTATCTGTAAAATATAAAAAACAAATAGCAGAGATTTTATATCTGTATAATAATTGTTATATATTATTTAAATTAATCGTCCTCGAAGTTTTCACGCTTATTAAAATTGTACATGTATGTTTAAATAGAGGGGTACGGTGAAGTGTAAATAATAGATCCTAAGTATGTAGATACAAAAGAGAGCCTATGTATTTGTACATAACAACATGTAAGTTGGAGTAAAAACTTATTCAGGTTTAAGTAGATAAATTCTACATTTAGATTTTCTCTTTACGTGGATACGTGTGTATGTGTGCAACGTGCGCGTGCATGTGCATGTGTATGTATATATATATATATAATAAAAAAAAGTGCGATAGGGCGATGTTGAATATAAATGATTCGCTCATATTTTGTATAGATTAAACAAATACCTCTTCCGTTTATCCGACTATATTTGGTGGTGCATGTTAATCATCTGGATTGATTTTCTCTTGTAAGATTGTACAAATAAGAGAGAGAGATCAGTGTGATTAAAGACTTTCGCAATGTATATATAAATTATCGATATTTTAATTGCAATCAACATCCAAACATCGAAATACCAAGAAATAATTACAAAACAATTGTAGTCGGATAAAAAAACCATATGAAGTACAGTTTCGATCACAGTAAATTGTCTGTATGATACATTCGACGTGTGTTATATTGCACGGACTATTTTCTCAACTAAACAAGAAAAAACAGTTCTTTACTTACAATGTACTTCACGGATATTCATCGAATATGTGAAATAAAATATGCGATATTTTCATTTAAGAAAGACCCGTGTGTGATGCTTTCTGTGACATTATACCTCCTTAGCTTCCCACCGAGCTCTCCCAGAAACGAATAGAAGTTAATTAATTCAATGACAATGCTGAAATGAAGCTTCGCGCGAAATATGCACTCGGTAATTATTATATACTGATTATTTTAATAATAGTCTTGCTTCTAAACGTCATGGGATCATCAAGTCATGATCAATCAAGCAATTAGGATAAAAGCGTGTGACGTTTTTTTATGGTATTTTTTCTAATTTCCCGATATCCTTTAATTATATTTTTCTCGTTTGATCTTGCGTTTCTTCGAATCAGCGTGTTAATTGCATTTCCGCAAACTAACGACACTTGTTTCGGTTTAAAAATACACACGTGCACGAGCCTTTTCGATATGTTAATAATTGGAAAGATGAACAAACATATCAAATTCTGAAAAATTACAACCACGCTGGAAAAAATGAGATTAAAAAATGGAGTATTTTTTTAGTAATATCGTTCCGAGAGGGTATAGCAAAAAATAATTCTCTGAAATAAAAAATTAAGAGTGTATTATTTCGAAAGAGTTCTTCTTGAAGAGTTATTATATCATTTTACAACTGAATTATTGCAATGATAATTAATATTAATTATAATTTCAAGTTGTTAAAATGATTCATTCTTGATGGAACTTGGTAAGAAAAAGATGAATACAAACGAGGAACGAGGAACAGCTTGTCGTGGCGATACATCTTTTTGCAAAATAATTTATATACGAATGCGAAGATGATGAATGTGAGGTGATTACACGGAGAGACATAGATCACGTAATAAATCTAAAATTCTGTAAAAGGTAACTTCCATTCTGTAATGCGCAATTCGAGGAAAAACTGGCTTTAAATTGTTGGTTTAGTGAAGGCAGTGTAGATTTCTTCAGCTAAAAAGAAAGAGCGACCATTGTGATGATGACACTTTGATGCTAATCAACTCGTATGTTTCTAAGTTCTCCATCGTTAACGGGGGGGAAAAAAATGATCGCGCGTCATTAAAACTAATGATGACGCATGCATACATTTTCCATCGCGGGTGCGAAGGTGAAGGTACTAACTGACGACGAGGTGGAATTCACGGAATAAATCGGTACCATTTCCACTCTGCCGTATGCGTTTTCGCTCATATATAAAGTCAAGTCACACGTCGACACATCCGTACAATTACGTCAGACACGTCAGTGAATAATACGTGCTAGGTGAGCATTTATCGTATATCGTATAGAAGCGCATTCGCGCGGCCGACTCTCTTCGTCCCTTTTAAAAATCGTGATCGAAAGGCACGAAAATTAACGTTCGCACCTTATGTGTCAGTGTGTTGCATCCGATAGACGTCATTTTGAAATCCCGACTTCAAAGTTAAAAAAAGAAAATTAAAAAAAAAGGAAGATAATTGCATTGTTAGTTCGACATTGCTGTGTGGAAATTCTTTTTGTGGCGCCCCTATCAAAGAATTGTATTTGAATTAAGAAAAATTATATACATTTTGCGCGCATCAAAGCTCCTTTTTCGCCGCGCAATTACATCCAATCAAGATGTTACTCTCTCACAGTTTCATCCGACGGTTTTTTATCGTTGTGTAACGTCACGTGTCTCGCGAGTCAATGTCGTTTCTGTGTTAAATAAAAATTTCTGAAAAAGTCGAACTGAAACTCGTGAATTTCGATGTGCTACTGGAAAGCGAATGTGTTTACTAATATCTTTTTTTATAAAATACTTCCACAAGGATTCTGTTTTTTTTTTTTTTTCTAATTTTTCGCAGCAAAGAATTAAAAATCGCATCGCGATAAAAAATTTCTGAAGTTTATCGGTAACTAAACATTTTGTATTAATCATTAAGGAATTGTTTTTTCAAACGTCGCGCAATTCGCAGCATCCCGATTTTTTCCAAACTCGAGCTTCAATTTTGTGGTTGCGTTTAATTAGACACGTACGCATCTTGCAGCCATGAAACTCGCAGTGTTTTGCCTGGTGGTCGTAGTCACCACTGTCCTGTGTGCTCCACAAGAACAGTACACTAATCGATTTGACAACATAAATGTAGACGAGATTCTACACAATGACCGATTGTTGAAGCGATATGTCGATTGCTTGCTGGACAAGCCCAACGTGAGGTGTCCCCCTGAAGCTGTTGAACTGAAGAGTGAGTATTGCACATAATAACTAGGGGTAACTTCCCCTCGCAATCACGATTGCAACTTGCGAAAAGATTTCAATCAATTTAAATTGGATCAACACTAAATTAACAGTTAATAATTTACGCGCGCGTGAATTTTAATTACACGTGATCGAGAGCTCTTACTGTTATTTATCTTTATCAAGATTTCGAAAAAATTTGTTCGAGGAAGAGAATTGTTTACGGAAATAGTTTTGAAAACATATGTCCTGAGAGAGAACATATGTCTTGAAGAACTTTGTAACTAGTGACATAAGACATCGGAAGATATTTATTTGAGAAATATGGAAATTGCTCTTTTTGTAACTTGGAAAATGTTTTTCCTTGACAAGCGTATTAATTACTCATTAAATTATGCAAGTCTTTATAAATAAATGCAACTCTTGACAAATTATGTAAATATTTAATTTATTATGATGAATATTTTTATATTATCATCTCCTTGCCAATTAATTTTTTCGCATGTGGGTTGAGTTGATGTGATACACATCAGTATCCTATTGTATTTCATATTTTTACATGTATAATAATTATGTAATTGCAGAATATATACACGAGGCATTGGAGACCGAATGCGCGAAATGTTCGGATCACCAGAAGCAGCTTGTGCGAAAGGTGATAAAATTCTTGGTGACAAACAAGAGAGACATGTGGAACGAGCTGAAGGCGAAATATGATCCGGATGGAGAATTCACGAAGAAGTATGAAAACATGGCCAAAGAAGAGGGCGTGCAGATCTAATCGACGAGAATCTAATCGATGAGGGGACGCTGGAGGGGAAAACTTATTATGGCGCAATGTTAATTGCCTCATTATCCTTCTAGTTATAATTCGACACGAATATAAAATATTCGATTATAGAATGTAACATATCTACGCGCATATGCAAATAAAATATTGTTCGTGATATAAATGCATCATCAAATGTATTCCGCGTGTGCTTATCGTTGCACATATCTTCGTCGATTGACGATAGATAAAATCCTCAACCGTTTTTTTCTCTCTTCATTCGAATTTTAATTGTGCGTTTCTAATAGGCGTGAAAATAAGTAGCTGACATCAAGGTTTTTACCTGCGGCGTGATACAGCAAACAGCTTCTTTCGATTGATACTGATCGTAATAGATGCAAATAATTAAAGCAACGTCAAAACGCCGAAGGATATGCATAATAAGATCAGGCGATCTACTGCATTTGAAGAAAAACAGAATTAAAACGTTTATAAAAAATATTCAATATCTCTAATATATATATATATATACACGTATCGAAATAATGAGTTTTTCGAATATCTTGATTTTCAAATCTAAACTTGATTCCTGGTACCAGCTATATAATCGGTAGTTTTATATTGATTTTATTATATTATAGATATTTTTTTACTTTATTATATAATTGAAATGTGAAACGCTTGATATACATAAATAGCAGTATGATCTATATATGCAGATAACTTTTCAGTAATACTAATATTATATCTACTACTATTATTATATCATTGAACATCTAAATTGCTAAATCAATTAGATTTTTTATATATATCTTAAAAATTTTCTATAAAAAAAATTGTCTATATAGAAAACTTGTTAAAAGTATTAATTCCAATTTTTAGAAATTGTAAATAATTATAAAATTTTGAACTTGTGCTCCATATTTTCTTGTGACTTCTTTTACGAAGTGTACACAAATACGCTATATAAATACGATTTAACAATGCCAATATTTCATAATGTTCATAATATTATAAGTCGTGTATTGGGCAGAATATCTACGAGATTGTCTGTCCTTTTTCTATTTTATTGCGAAAGTATCAAATTCGTCTGTGTCGTCGTCCGTCTCGCCGATATCCGCGCAGGCATAGCAAATCCTGCCGACGTCGTCCCAGCACTCTGAACAGTGTACGAAGGGACATCCGGGTGTTGCGCATCTAAGGAATCGTGGGCCTCTTTTCGGCTCTACTTCACCACAAACGAGGCATTTGTGTCGCGCCCAGGCGAAGATCACCAGCCAACCGCAGAGCGTCGGCCAGCGCAGTCTCAGGGCGATCCACGGATCCATGTCGTATTCCAATCGCCGAGTTCTGACCAGACTCTTGACCCTAGCCCGCATGAACCTTGGCAACGGAGACAGGATCAAGTTCGACATATATTCATTGGAGATCTGAGTCGGTTTCGAGATTCTCGTTTTTACAAGATTCAAGCACCATTCGTCAAATCTCCAATGTGGAATCGAATTTCTTATTTGGCTTGGATCTATTCGGTCGAGATTGCATTCCATTTAGAGATACCGCCTTCGCATTAATCATCGAGAACTCGGAGCTATTCTATCAGATTCGAATTTAATCACGAGATATTTAATCCCTTCTCTACCTGGCATGTCCGAGTCTGCGTCTGAGGCTCTCGTTGTAGAGATACAATACACGCCTCTTCTCACGCTTTCTGTAGAAGAAGGAGCAGATCACGCGTCGTAGACGCTGGGTATAAGCAGTCGTAAACAGCAACGTCCAGATAGCCAGATAGATCGAATAAATCTTGAAAATCATGTAATTCGGTACTTTGCTGGCTCTCGGTAAACATGCGCTGTTGGTTACCACATTTCTCACTCGCCTCTTTACGTTGAATCCACGAATGACACTACGTATCAGAGAGGCTATCACTCCGATTCCGCGAACTTCCAAGGTCAAGTCGTGATGACCAACCTAGAAAAAATCCAAGTTAAAGTTCAAATCAGATCGGGAGAAGTAAATCAAGATTAGATTACGTAACGCTAGGAAAAACCCGTTGATTGTTTTGCATATACTGCAAAAATCATTTGCTTATCATTATTTACAGCTCTCTCTCTCTCTCTCTCAGTCGTCATTGCAACCGCAACTTGTTCTATGAAAAGTTATTCATAAGTTTCTTTTATTCTTCTATCGTACCTCGAAATAAATTAATGAAAACTAATTATTTTATAAAATTCACAAATAAAATCAGTGAATTAGACTTGAGATATAGAAATGTAAAATTAAAAAAAATCTTAAACTCAAATCTAAAAATAACAAGAACGGAGCTGAATCGCTTCATGCATACCTGAGTATATTCCATATAAGCATGTCTTCGAACCAAATCGAGTGCCTCGAAAAAAAGTCTGTCGAGTAGTATAAATGTCGTTATACTAATTATTTCAAGGATCAACTTCACCGTTTGACCGGTCAGATGAACTTGCTCGATTTTGCTCGGGCGCAGACTATATGGATTCACGAAACTTGATCTCTCAATTTTCTTCAAGGGTAACAGAGTCAGACTGCTACGAGCTTTTCGTCTCGCATCGATTTTTCGAAAGTACGAAGTAACATATATGTTATCATGTTCGATCTCGGTCAGATATTTGTCGTGATACTCTTGAGCATTTAGAATAATTCTCAAGAAAATAAAGGATAGGCATCTGGATAAAATATATTTTGTATGCTATAATAAATTTTAAACCAATGAAACAAGTCGAATTGTTCATATATATATATATATATATATATATATATATATATAATAATAATAA